CCCCAATGCATACCTACCCTCAAACAGAAGCTGCACATACATTCTGATCAAAAATAAAAAAGTAATAGTCAAAATTATGTTTTATTTTCCGTTCTTCTCTTCCAGGTCATCACAATTTGAAATCTCTTCTTACTGATAATGAACTGTTATCAAACAATTTACAGTCTGTAGCACAGTAAGCGTACCCCAAACCCACAACGTTATTCAATAAAATCTGATCTCCATGATGAGATATAGCCCTGCCAATTTTTCTAATAATTTAATTCTTAAATTTTCCAGATTCTGATCGATAGAAAAGGTCAACCTTTCCATAATATAAATGTCATGCATTACATCAACCCAATCTTCCCTTTTTTGGCGCTTGTGCCTTCATTCATTTCCAGTAGGGTGGGGTTTAAAAATGTAATTTAATAAGTAGGCTATATTGTCCTGTACACAAAGTTTATTTATACAAATGTTCTCAGTCAGCAGGTTTCAGGAGCCGCTTGAGTAAAACTTCCTCCTCTTCCTCTTTGAAATACGGAGCAAATATCAACATCTATAAGCTTTCTGCTTATAGGTCAAACATTTTAATTTAAATAGGAGTACACTGTGTACATGACTTTATTAAAAGTTACAGTTTAGTGTTCTTAGGACTGAAGACTTTCTGAGGGAAGAAACATTGTCATTTTATTGTTTTCAACTGAGGAGCTTTGATAAATTTATTTAAAAAAAATTATAGCAGAGGAAAAAATAAATATTTTTACTGATTTTTTTAAACCAAACTGAAAGTTTCTCCACTAAAATTATTGTGTAATTTAAAGGCAGTAAAACGCCTGGTTAAATTAAGAAGATATCTATAATTATTTACAAACACCTGAAGCTGACTCGGAGAACTTTGTGATTTTAGGAAAAAACGTAAGACCCCCACCCCACCCCCCATAGCTGCGGTCCTCTTGCACCTCCACCCGCATGTGATTAATACAGATTTTTTTGCAAAAATTACAGATTTTTGATTCTCATTATACACTTAAATGTCTGAATGGGTTGACATGTGAACTCTTAAGTCCCGGGCAGGTCGGGACCGCAGTGCGCGTGGACAGGTGCAGCAGCTACAGTCRCTGCCCCTCAGTCAGCTGATCTGTCACGGTTTTGTTGTGCTCGTGAACACACACGGTGGAAATGCTGCGAGCTGCTTTTAGAAATATAATATACAGCGGGTAAAATAAGTATTGAACGTGTCACCATTTTTCTCAGTAAATATACTACTAGAGG